CCCTTCCATTCTCTAAGATGCAAATGCTACACTCAGCCTTTCCCACGTGCTACTTAACCCTCCGAATACCTGGATTTAACCGATGTAAAAAACGGAAACATCAGTCCAAAAATATAAATAATTATTAAAAGCTCTTTTATTGGAAACACTGTCAGTGACGGAAGTTGAAGTGATCTTCACGCAAACACTTCCATTTGCCTTTTTCTTTCTAAGGAGGCTCCCAGCCAAAATTATGTTCACATGTTTTGACACTGGTGCCATTGGTGGAACCTCAAAGCAATGGTACGTCTGAACCCGCACCTTAGCAAGCCTGGCATCTGAATTTGTGTGGGATGGTGGTGGACCAGAGTTGGGAAAGAGAAAGGAAGGGAGCCGAAGAGAGGGTCTGCACGGGTTTTTCAAACAACATCTCCCCCTCTCCGGCCCCCACAAATGGACGGAGGAGACTCTATACAGATTTGGCAAATTGTGTTGTCATTTTTCGTAGTGATTCTTGTTCTAGACGTATTCGGTGCTTTAGCAAATAAGATCGGGCTTCTCAACTGAGATGATCAAAAGGACAGCATGGATGCCCAAGCCATATATGCGAAGCTTATCTGTGACATGTTTGTCTGTTTGTCTGTCCTTTAACCCTCACAGCCGTACACCCTACTCTTCTCTTAAAGAGATGGAGAGATAGAATATAAAGACAGGAACTCATATATCAAATATAGGACAAATTTCCAGCGATTGCATGATAGTTGATCCGCTGGCGTCTACATACGTATTCTAGTAAGACTCTTGTGTCCTTTAAGCAGCAATAGACAGCTTGAAACTTGTATGTGATAGAAATTGGCAAATATGGGTACCTGTGATCTATCTGCCACCTATTTTATTCCCTTCTTTCATAAAATGTCTGAAAGCGTCTTACAAACCCTTGACTATATCAGTTTAATGTGGACATCAAAGCGATCGAGTTTTGATTCTTTTCCTTAAGCATTTTGCTACGTGTCACATGGGTGTGCATATGTGGAGTGCAGATAGTCTAGTTGAATCCATAAATGGGACGTGGTTTTTGTTTGTTTGTTTGTTAAATAATCGTGTTTATGATCTTGGGGTGAAGGTGCCTGGATGACTCTTAAAAGTGAAAGGCTCTCTTTATCCGGAATAGATATCTTCAAGATAAGTAAATAATTCTTCCACGCTCCCATCCAACCAATATTTAAAACGTTGCCCAGGAGTCTAAATTAACCACCAAAGACCAAAAATAAAAAACCAAACACCTTTGCAAAGTTTCTCCTGTTGATTTCATTATTTCTCTCCAAGGACCAGCCATTCATTCAGCTCTTCATTTTTGCCTCGCTTCTGTAGGATATTGCCCCATAGCACTGGGCCTATAGGGCGTCTGATTCCCACGGATCACCCCCACGCCCCAATTTTAGATGTGCCATTAAATTCATTGCAGTAATCTGAGGGTTGACGCTCCAGACTGACACCCCAAATGCTAACCGAGCGGTTTCTTGCCCCCTTTCTGCGCTCCCAAACTCTTTCCTCGATTCTATTAGCACTTTGATATCTCACCCCACCTCCTTCCCCATCCCACTGCACCCCCTCTATTTTTTTCTTTGTCAGAGTTCAGACTTGTTTATCCCAGCTCAGATCTCTGAAGTTCAAATGTACACGTGATTCCTTTTGCTCTGACTGAGCGCTACAATGAAAACGTCTCGTTCGCTTTGTGGTTTGCATTTAATTACGCCGGAATCGCGTACATGTTTATGGCAGGCGAATAAACTACTTCCTCGAACGTTTATTAGCCGACGCCTTTTGGCCTGCGAGCTGATTAAAAACATTGGACACATTTTGGAGAGGTTATGATTGGTGCTTTGCAGTTATTCTACCCAACTTTTGCACTGGGGGTGGGACAGGGTTGTTAGTTTATTGGGAAAGCAGCCCGGGGCTTGGAGATGACGTCCTGGGCAGATCAATAACTGGGAATTTCACCTGTAAAGTCCCCCGAAGTGAAATTGCTAGAACTCGGCTAGAAAGCGAATTTGAGAAGAACGAATATTCTCCCTACTCTTTTAAAAATGTTTTAAGATGTGTTCTAAGGGGAAATTAAATCAGCAGAAAGGTTTTAAATGATGAACAATTTTACAATGTTTCTTCTTCTTTTTTCTCGGAAAGTTATTAAATTATTAACATTCTTGTCTCTTTTTGGAGAGAGGGAGAGAGAGAGAGACCTCTGAGACCCTAAGGAAACGGGAGAAGCGGATCTCACTATTCATGCCACCTTCTAAATGTGTAATATATCACTTTCTGGGATTAAACAGGAGAAATGGGAGAGAGGCAGAGGTCTCTCTTAAGGGGGTGAAAAAAATGGGATATCAAGTCCACTTCAGCCAAAGAAACGAGCTAGACTCTGGTTTCTGTTGTTTAAGAGTAAATAACTCACGGACGCGCTGTCTTCTTATTTTTCTTCTTTTGTTTTTCTCCACTTCTCCCCATCTTCTCAACACATTTTTAAAAGCGTGGTGGTGGTCTCTGTGTGCATTTTTAAAATCTTTATATGGATGTCTAGGTCGCAGCAATCGGATCGTGTAACGCACACACAGACACACAGACACAATACACAAACACATACAAATGTCATCTCCTCACTCCACGATGCAGTTGCGAAGATTGCACCCCTGAATAGATGCATGAAGAGATCTGGAAAGGGTGGTAAATACGTGGCCAGGTAACCAACCAATTCACAAAATACCTTAATAATTAACCAACTAATAGTAAACAAGCATCTACCTAACTAATGGCGAAACATGATCCCGCCAGGTTAAACACGTATAACTCCCTGCGATCTTTAAAACGGGAAGCACGTGCTTAATTTCCCCACTGAAATCAGGACTTAAAGACGGATTTATTTTGGCTGGAGAGAGAGAGAGAGAGAGAGAGAGAGAGAGAGAGAGAGAGAGAGAGAGAAGGGGGGGCAGACAGACAGACAGACAGACAGATACTGAGTAGGAAAGTAGCACATACAATCGAGCACATTTGTAAAAGCAAACCACTTTGGGTTTTAATTGGTGAGGGGTGTGCAGAGAGAGAGAAAAACGAGGACAGATTTCATTTTACAGTCAACATCCAGAGTTTTGCTTTAGAAACCTATCTTGGTGCGTGTTACATAATACGCGCTGCTCTTTAAAAGAGGTTAGGGGGCGGGGTGGTGAAAACGCACTTTCTTCCCAAGCCTAGGTAAACTACTTCCAACCGCTCCTGTCTGCTCGTATATTATTTCCCCAGTCACACAGTCGCTGCCGAGGGGTGAAATGTATATATAAAAAGATTTATAGGTTAATTTATGTTGCCTAATCTACTTGTAGTGACTCCACTATGTCAAATCTGTCTCCTCCCCCTTCCCACCCACCCCACGCCTCCCCTCTCGTCTTCTTAAGCAATAAAATAGTTCGAAAGGACCGCGGTCCCTTGTTTAAAGCTACGATTTATTTCCGCCGTCTTTTGAAACACACCCTCTCCTTTCTTCTCAGGGAAACGTTTCTCCTCCCAAAAGAAATCACGATTTCTTTGCACTTCCTCCTCGCAGAATAAATCAAGATATTCGGCGAGGTCGCCTTTCTAGCGCGCACAAAGGTGTCTTTCGCTTTCCCCTCTGCAAAAGGACTAATTCGGATTTTCCTTCTCCTCCACCCCCCACCAATACCCCACCCTTCTCGGATATATTAGGGTAACCATGACGCAATGGAGAAAATAAATTCGAAATTTTAATCTGATTTTTACGTCTTCCCTTGTAACTTGGTCATAGAAAATATAGGAATGGGGTTAACTTTTAAAAATAAAATAAAAGGACTATGCTTTTGAAGGTTCAGGGTGTACATATATCTGAAGAAATGTATCTGTTAGATTCGCGTAAAGAAAGAAAGAAAGATTTGGGGGCTTCAGTGCCCAAGCGAAAGTTGCTCTCGAAGCGGCCCGAAGTCCCAACTTGTTCTACATCACCCCAGCGAGCCAAAGACAATGGGCCACCAGGCCAACACGTGAGGCCTTTTGCCCTAGCAAAGGTCATTCGCCCCAGCGTGCCCCACGACGCGGCTTCACAGACATTCCCTAACCCAAGACTCCGTTGATGATCTAATTGAATTACGCCTCTTTTTTTTGTTATAGAGACAACAGAACACGTGCTGGAGGTAATTAATTATCTGATCGAGGGCCTCGCAAGGCAGGCCCCGGGATCAGGTAGAGCGACCGCTTGGGACAGTGTCAAGCTGGTGGTGACAAGGAGGATGAAAAACTAGAGGGCAGGGGGGAAAGTGGTTTTTAGAGAAGGACCCTCCGCTTGAAATAAAATAAAAAGTACGCGGGGGTGGGGGGGATGAGTGCGCGCGCGTAGATCTGTGTGTTTGGTGATAATAATAATAATATCTTTATTGTCATTGCCCCCTCTCGGGCAACTCGATTCCTTCCATGACCAACTCGATTCCTTCCATGACCTTGAGGATCCACCGAGTCATCTCTGCCGAGCCAGACCCCCTTGTGTGGCCATAAGAGGCCCCCGTTTGCTTCGTGGGAAACCCCAAATTCTCCGGGATTCTGTGCGCCTTCGTAGTGCATCCCGTGGCCCAATTTTCCTCCAGCCCTGTCCACGCCCCCCCCCGGCAGTTCCCCTTCCCATACCAGACAAGCATCACGGAGGCCCAGAGAATGAAGAGGTAATTTTAGTCGTTTTTATAATGGGTGAATAATAACAACAGCAACCTCTCTCACACACATTGCCCCGTTCGAGTGAAACTTCCAATAGGAAGGAGGCGAAACCCCAAAACTTTCCCTTCCCAAACAAACATCCCCTCCCAGGAAGAGAGAAAAACAAAGCCTTTCGCCACCGCCCCCCTGCATTTTCTGTCTTCAGAAGCGAAGAAAGGATTGGTAATAAGTAGTTCGGTAGGTAGATAGGTAAGTTGGTCAGTAAAGTAATAAAGCAAATCGGCAGCGATTTCTGAAAGCAATAGACTCACCTTCCTGGGCTGCTCTGGAGGGAGGGGGGCTTTGGGGATTGGTAGGATGTGAACTCCAGTGACTAAGTTTTATAGGTGGGTGGGTGTATGTATGTATGTGTGTAGAAAAACAATATATATGTAGAAAAACAATCCCTCCTGTCTGAGTCTGTCTTCAGGTCGCTCATTCTGTCTCCTTTTAGCCAGACCCCTAAAATAAAGAATGTGAAGTCTCCCCCCCCCTTTCTGAGGGTTGGTGTTGGGTGTGGGGGGAGGACGTGAAAAGGGGACTGTATTTTATAAAAGCGCTGTTTGAAGCACTCCCCCCTTCCCTTCTTCTTCTTCTTCTCCTTCTTCTCAACGCGCTTCTGAACTTGATCAGATTGTATGTTTCCTGCGGAGAGGCGGCGGCAAATCCTGTGAGGGGCCTTCAATGGAGAGACTTCGGGGCTCGGCGAATCTCAGGATATTACAATTACTGGCATCTCTCTTTCCGAGCCCTTTTCTTTCCACACTTGCTTCCCCCCCATCGTTCTTTGCAAATGCTTTCCAGAACGAGAAAATGAGTGGATTTATTGAGACTTGAAGGACGGTGGGACGCGAGCGGGGGGTTGGGAAAATGAAAGGGGTGAAGCCGGGCTGCCACAGAGGACCGTCATTTCCCAACATTAAAACGTTGCGTTGCAAATAAATTAACAGATAAATAAATAAATACCAAGCGTGCCTTTGATCCGCTAGCTTCAGGTTTCGGGATAACATTATACGTTCTCTGCTCGAAAGAAAAGATGTGTATATATTTGCCTTGGAGATCCATAAGCAGAGAACCAGGGACCCTAAACTACAGACACGTTGCCTTGTCTTTCAGATGTTTCAACTCTTCCTCATCTCCCTCCTTCTTTCTTATGCTCCCCCTCACCCCCCCCCCCAAGATTTTGAAGTTTCTTCTTCCACTTCGAGCGGGAAGATGCGGTGGGGGTGGGTGGGGACGACTAATAAAGAAAGACTCAAATGATTCGTAGTAAAAATATAAACAAAATAAAAAATCTATCTATATATACATTCTACACATGCAAACAGATTTTACTCCGAAGGTCGCTTTGGACATGTGCAATAAGGAAAAAGATAAACAAACGAAGGATTTTTGGCGTTTTAAAAACCATTTTCTCAAGCACCGTTTTTCTTGGGAGTGTGTGTGTGTGACTGTGTGTCCTTCCTTACGCCATCAACATCATCATTACTTTTTAAATCTGTTTCTTGTCGTTGCTCTGATTATGGTCATCATTATTAAAATCATCTCAGGTTTAAAGAGTCCCCGCTTTGAACACGGTGCCGTCGGGGATAGACCCGCGTCCTTCCTCGTCGGTCTCGCTGCCATGCCTGCCCCGAGGCACGAAAATATGGGGAGTTCTGACGTCTTCGGAAGTATCTTGCCCTGTCTTTTAAGTTTTTCATCTCTGTAAGTTCATCTCTCCCCCCCCCACCCCCACTCCCACTCCGGTTTTCCTCCCCTCCTTTTCTTTAAAGACTTTTCTTGTTATTATTTTATTTTTCAAGAGAAGTGTGTTGCTACAGTGCTTTCGAGGAATTGTTACAGAAAACAAACGGAAATGTTGAGGGCTGAAGGGAAGCAAAGGGAGTCCTATAAGGGGCAAATTCGCGTGGTGGGGGCAATGCACGGACAGCTTCAAAGGATTCGGAATTTTCTTCCTAAATATTAACGGCGCAGCGCTTGATGGAATCGGACTATACACGCAGAGCGTCACCCTTTCTCCCCCTCGCTTTCTGCTTTGGGCTGGGTAAGAATGATGCACAAGTAATTTGCCCCTAAACCCAGGACCATCATCTCCACCCCCAAGCCCTCTTCTCTGCTCCCCCGCAAAAGCCCCCCGTTGCATCTCCAGTAAACAAAACATTTGGGGGTTGGCGGACACCCTTTAACCTTACCTGCGCCTCACTAAACCCAGCCGGGCCAATCAGAGCGCAGGGCTTAAACGCAGCTGCCATATTCAATGTTAAACGCTGTCAATCAGGCGGGTTTGGTCCAATGGGCAGGCCAGCTGGGGGTCAGGTGACGGCTAGCCAGGCGGTTCCCCATTGGCTGGCAGGGAAGCTGCCTCTCGGAGTTGGGTATTCTCCCTCTCAGCGTCCCTCGCCCTTCCTCTCCCTCTCTTTTTTCTTTCTCCCCCCCCTCTCCATATGTGTTAGGAAGGGAGGAGCGCCTGACTTTAGCCAGTGCAAGGACGTCGCTCAGTTGGAGTGGAGGGCGCCCTCCTGGAAGGCAGGAGGGGAAAGAGGCAGCGGGGATCCCCCCAGGGGTTGTGTGTGCGAGTCTGTGGGGGGGAACAGAGGGGGTGCCTCCGTTCGTAGCCCTTTAGGGCTAGTGGGTGGGGTTTGGGGGGACTGTTTTTTGGGGAGCGGGTGTTGTTCAGTTGTTGTTTTCTCTACCCCCCTTCTTCTCTCCAACCCCCCACCCACTTATTTGTGAAAGGTTTGGAGCGCGTGTGAATGCGGCATTCGTGGGGCTGGCGCGCGAGCCCTCCTGCCTGTCTCTCCATTGTGTGGGGCTGAGCTAGTAGTGGGGAGGGGAGAGAGAGAAGGGGGAGATCGAAAGCTTTGGAGAGCTCGTGTTGTTATTTGGAAGTTGGGGAGGGGGACAGGAAAGGGGGCGAAAAGGAGACGCGGGAGGAGATCGCCGTCGTGGGGCCGCCTCGTCCTCTTCATCTTCCCCGCGGTTCCTCTTCCTTCTGCTTGTGCTGCATCTCTCAAGGCGGACTATGACCATGTTGTTAGACGGCGGGCCTCAGTTCCCCGCGCTGGGAGTCGGGGGCTTCGGAGCGCCGTGCCACCACCCGCACGACGTGGCGAACCGCGATGCCGCTGCCGCCGCCGCCGCTGCTGCGGCCATGGGGCTCAACCACCCCTTCGGGGACTCGTCCTTTAAAATAAGCCCAGCGCCCCACGAGCTGGCGTCGGGACAAGGCTCTGCTTTCACGCCGCAAGCGTCGGGCTACCCGCACCATCACCATCACCGCCACCCTCCGCACCCGCCTCACCCTCACCACGCCGGCCAGGTGCCTTCGTCTTACGCCGCCGCGGCCGCCGCGGCCGCTTTCAACTCCACGCGGGACTTTCTCTTCCGCAACCGCGGGGGATCCGCGCTCGGGGATTCCCCCGCCGGCGGCGGCGGTGGCGGAGGAGGGGGATCCGCGGCGGCGGCTGCGGCTGCAGCTCAGCACGGCCTCTTCGGCGGCAATGCGCCCAGCGGGCTCCACGCTCCTCCGGGCATCCCGGACAGCCCTGGCGGCTACTTGCTGTTCCCGAGTTTGCACGATCAGAACCCCAGCCACACCTCCCCGACCGGGCACGTGGAGAACGGGCAGATGCACCTGGGCTTGCGGGGGGACTTTTTTGGGAGGCCGGAGACGTACCGAGGAGTCTCCAGCCCCCGCGCGGACCCTTATGGGGGCCCGGCTCAGTTCCACAACTACAGCCCCATGAATGTGAACATGGGGGGCATGAACGTAGCGGCCGCCGCCGCCGCGGCTCACCACCGTCACCACCACCACGGCGCGGGAGCCTTTTTCCGCTACATGCGGCAGCCCATCAAACAGGAGCTCTCCTGCAAATGGATCGAGGAGCTGTCGCAGCCTCCGGCTCCTCCGCATCAGCAACAGCAGCCTCACCAGCCGCCGCTGAGCCGACCCAAAAAGAGCTGCGACCGGACTTTCAGCACCATGCACGAACTGGTCACCCACGTCACCATGGAGCACGTCGGAGGCCCTGAGCAGAACAACCACATCTGCTACTGGGAGGAATGTCCCCGCGAGGGCAAGTCCTTCAAAGCGAAATACAAACTCGTCAACCACATCCGCGTGCACACCGGCGAGAAGCCCTTCCCGTGTCCCTTTCCCGGCTGCGGGAAGATCTTCGCCAGGTCGGAGAACCTCAAGATCCACAAGAGGACGCACACAGGTAAGGCGAGGCACACCCTTGGCACACCACCCTTGGACATGTATGTATATATGTATGTGTGTATATATATATATATATATATGTATATATCCAACAATATATACCCACCAATACAGTTGTATGCATCTATCTAACCAGCAATAATCCTGAGCAGAAGACAACAAAATTAAAATCCCAGATTCTTATTTTTAATAATTTTGGATTTGTTCTGGGTAGAGCTTTTTTTAAAAAAAAAAAGCAGAGCGCGCCAAAAGGTTGCTCTGTATGGCTCTGGAGGTCCGAAGGATCAGGGTTTGGGGAAGGTGGGGTAGAAATAATCTGAAACTATATAAAGCGAGTGGTTTGCTTTTGCCTATTTCTGTTTAGGCGTTTAAAATACTCTTTTCACCCCTACGCGCTGAAAGTCAGTTTCACGGAGGTTCCTTGTCGATTTCAAACGAGAAGAGAAATAATTCCTGACTGATTTTTTTTAAACTTTCCTTTTACTTCTGAAGATGATATTTCCGAAGCTTTCTTTTCATCTGCAACTCTTTAGCCACCCCTGTACACGCCCCCCCCTCCACATTCGTCCCTCTCATGGAGTTCTCTCCCTCTGGATGTAATGCGAGGGAAACAAAAATCATTGGAGCTGTGTGTGTTGCTTTTTGCGAGAAAGAGAAAGAGAAAGAGAAAGAGACTGAGCTCTCCTCAGACATCCTGTTGAGGAAACCATACAAATGCTAATGCAATCTAATTTTCGGTTACTTCCGCTCTCGCCCGCTCTCTTAATGCCTTGATTGGCACATCTTCTAATTAAATCACTGATACTTTTTGTCCAAAGCATTCTTTTTTTTAAAAAAAAAGCATGGAAAAAAGAGAAATAAACGGTTCTGTCCTCTACAAAAAAACTAGCGTAGAATTAGACGGAAACAGCAATCCAACACACATTATTGCCTTCTTAAGTACATCTTATAAAACTGTCTGGATCTCCACAATTTATCTTCAGGGGAGTTTTCTTCTCCGCTTTCTCTCTCTCCCCTCCCCTCCTTTTCTTCCTGCCCCAAATAATCTAAGCATCCAATTCTCATCTCATTTTTAACAGTCAGTTTAAGGAAAGCCCGTAGCATTTCAAAGGCAGAAATTAAAAGCTACAAAAGGGCCCTTTAATTGAACTGCAAAGTTTCAAAACTGTTGTCTCAGAACTGTCTGGTGTCCCTTCACCAGCCCAGAGCCCTTGGCTCCTCCTTGCTCTCTCCTACTTTTAAAAAAATTAAAATTCAGAAACCTGTCTGTGTACAAAGAGCGAGAGAGTTCAGGCAGAGGAGCAGCAGGGAGCCCAAAAGCTGCAAAGAAAAAGAAGAAAGTTTTGCTGTAGGCAGAAAAGGTGTGCTTGTGTGTGATAAGAGAGAAAGGGAGTGGGGAGTTAGTGGGAAAAGCCCTAAACCATCCTGTACCCCCATCCTACTACTGTGTCTCTTCTTTACGAAACAAGTGGCCCAATCTCTGGTTATTTATTATTTTTTACTTGCAGGAGAGAAGCCCTTTAAGTGTGAGTTTGAAGGCTGTGACCGGCGTTTTGCAAACAGCAGCGACCGAAAGAAGCACATGCATGTCCACACATCAGACAAGCCATACATCTGCAAAGTCTGTGACAAGTCCTACACCCACCCCAGCTCCTTAAGGAAGCACATGAAGGTAAAGGATTCCTCCTGGGCACCTTGCTTTTGCCATAGCTCCCTTAATTTGGTGAGATCTGACCACCCTCTTCCCCCGCTCTCATGTAGTGTGTGGGCATATAGAGTGAAGGTTTACAGACGCATCTGTATTTCTGTTTCTGTTTCTATAGATATAAATAAAAGCCACGTGTGTGTGGTTTATAGTTATATATGCTTATCAATTTATCAATTATTGATTAATTTATTAATTTGTCTGTTTGAGAGCATCTGTATTATTCCTGAATGCATACCTATTTATATTATACATGTGTACAAAATACATAATATAGTTCTATAGTTATTTATGTTTGCCCATCTGCTTATGTAATTGGAACTATATATGCACGTGCCTTCATGTGCATTTATATTATGTATGTAATTAATTACACATGTATAAATCTATATAGGTTATACATGTATGTATATTTTATGCATAATCCTATGCCCATATGCTGGTTTTGTGTGTCTGGACATATACACCCATGGAGTGTTTTTCTGTGTGTATAACCTTCCAGTTTGATACATTTCCATATTGAAAAGAACCCTGGCTATTCTGCTGGTGAAAAAGTAGAAGGCTCTCCCCTGGCCTTTCAAGTAATGATTGCCTCAGTGAGATGGAAATAAAAGGAATTGCGCATGCTGTTTTTAAATTTTTATTTTTTATTTTGTAATTTTCAAAAGGCTTTGGCTTGGCCAGAGAGGGGGCCGTCTTGCACAAGGAGCAGTTTGTCTCAAGTGCCTGGTTTGTTCTCCCTTGTTAAATAACATTTCATCATGTATAGTTGCTAAGCTTCCATTCCTGGTTTATGAATGAGTAAATTTGGCCGCTGAGTTTGTGAGAGGGGGGGGGGGGTTGGAACGGAGTGCAGAGTCATCTGATATCCATCCACACATATTTAAAATATTAAGTGTATATACATATATAATCTGCTCCTGAAATATAAAATATTTTTTAAAATATCACTTATAGCGAATAGTAGTGCTTGAAGCCACTAGGTATAAAACAGTGCTCTGATTTCCAGTATAGTGTGCTCATCTAATAATGTGCTATCCTGTTTCTGTTTTTATAGAAGGTGTTGTTGTTGGGGATTTCTTCCAGAATTTACCCTTTCCATCCCATATTTAATTATGGGATCAGCTTGGCAGGTTGGCCATATTTTCCACTTATCCAGTAATTTTCAAAAAATAAACAAATAGCTAGATAATGAGTTGTGTGTATTTATATATATATTTATGTACTGATTGGTGGCTCACTGTAAATCAACTCTCCCCTTCTGTCCACTGGCAAAAAAGAAGAGAGTTCCTTGCTCTTGGACTTGTGGCAATTGTCTCTGCCTTCTTTTTTCAGGTCCATGAGAGCCAAGGGTCGGAATCCTCTCCGGCGGCTAGTTCTGGCTACGAGTCCTCCACCCCGCCAGCCGTTGTGGCTGCCAGCAGCAAGGACTCCAGCAAACCACCAGCAGCAGCTGTTCAGACCGCCAACCCCAGCCACAACCAAGAACTGCCCCCCAACTTTAATGAGTGGTATGTCTGATGAGGACAAATTCAACTCCTCCCCTCCCCTACAAAATCAACAACAACAACAAAAACCAGACTAACCAGACTTTACCAAAAGCATTCCTGTTGACATCAAAGGACACCGGATTCATCTTTGGCCTGTCATTGGAGTTTGCAGGACAAAAAATAATAATAATAAAAATAAAATAAAAATGAAGGAGGAACAACTACAGTAGCAGCAGCAGCAGCAACAACAACAAACAAGTGGTGGCAAGGGTGTGATATTTTTTTTTTAACCCTATCCAAAAGCCGGAGGCTGGACTTTGTCTCTATTTTTCTCAGGATTTTTCTGCATTGATGGTTATTTCTTTTTTTTCTTTTTAAAATCCCTCTTCCAACTCACCTTTCAATACCACTCCCTTTATTTCCCAACATTCTTGCCTTTTGTAAATATATACTTCCAATAGATATATACCCACTCCTTTTTGGGGTGGGATGTTGAAAAACAACGAACTGACTTTTACACTTTATGATTTAACTTCCAATAGATATATACCCCCTCCTCGCTCTCGCTCTCTTTTTTGGAGGGGTTGGATTTTGAAAAACAGAAAACTGACTTTTCCCCTTGGCCTTAGTTGTGATTATTAAAAATAATAAGAAAAAACAACAACCACAGTCTTAAAACTTGCCAAAGTCCTGTATTGTCTTGAAATCTTTCTTTCTCTCTCTCTTTCTCTGTCTTTCTGTCTTTTTTTCTCCTACCTTTTTCTCACTCTCTAAAACATAACACTTGTGAATGTATTTCATATGATTTGAGAATGGGCCAGGGGTGTTCTTCAGTATGTTTTTCAGGAGGGGGAAATGTAATCTTAATTTCACTCAGCTCATGGCGGTTTAGTATAAACAGTTGCCTTTTTGTAATAACTTTTTTTTTTTGTAAATACATATCCATGATGCCATATTTATCAATTGTAATTTAATTATTGAGAGAAGTGCCGGAAACGGAAACATATTTATGAGGAAAAAAACAAAACAAAAACCCCACAAAAAAAGAAGAAATTTTGTTTTCTAACAAACAAACAAAATCCAGACAAACTCTGTACAGCTTTTTGGTTATATAACTGCTTTAGCATTAAAAGTTTATTGTTTTGGAAATAACACAGTAGAATCCATTTCTTTCCAATGTTTTCCTTCCATCTTTTCCTCCCCCAACCCTTTTTCAAAATTTCTGCCTTTGGGGGGGACGGGGACTCACAGCTGCAAAAAGCAAATCTAAAAAGAAGCAAGGGGTGTGTCTTCCATTTTGTAAAATGCTTCCCAATTTGCTAGATCTCATCACCTCACTTCCAATTTTCCTTTATTTATGTGAAATGCTGACCACCCCTGCCTCCCTTCCACCCCTGCTTGAAAGGTTTATGGTGTTTGGTTCTTTCTCACCACGGGTGGGTCGGAGGGAAGAAAGAGGGTTGTGTGTGTGTGTGTGTGTGTGTGTGTGTCTCCCCGCTCCCACCCCTGTTTAGATGATGACCTGCCTGTCCTCACTGCAAATGTCTTATAATGGTTTCTTGGAATCTCCTCCACCACACATGGGGTTCACAATTCACTTAGTGGCCTGGACATCTTGAACTTCAAACGAAGAAGGGAGGAGCTAGAGGCTCTAAATCTGCCTTGACAGACACATGTAAACACCAAAAGGTAAACGGAATTAGTTTTCTGAATTATGGGTGCCTATGGGAAATATGCTTTATGTGTGTCTTTGGTGAATGTGAACAAAAATACACTCCCAAATTAATTTCACAGTCCCATATTAATATTCTGCCTGCCTGCCTGCCTGCCTATCTAGCTAGTTTTCATGTCTTATTCTGTGTCCTAAACTAAATTAACAGGAAGCAAGGCTCTTTAATTTTTCAGTGGGACTTACTCTCAAGTTGGTAATGGTTGATGTGGTTCTCTATTAACTGAGCACAGAATGTGAATTATTGATTCTTTTTTTAAAAAATAATATGTTGCACTTTGAAGCATTCCATTATTATACAGCATTGTAAAGAATATTGATAATAAAAGCTAAAATGTCATAGAAGGGGAAGTGGGGGCTATGCATGGCTGCACCCATAGTTGGCAGCTATATTGTGAGTGTGTGCATGTGTGCTTGTGTAGGGGGTTGAGGAAAATGTGCGCAAAAAAAATCAGGGCCTCTTTGTAGTACAGTATTTCTATTGATTTATTGCTAAATACACTTGGTGGAAAGGGTCTCACTAGGTGTCTTCCATCTGTTGGTTGGTCAAATATAATCCATGTTCATCTGGGCTTTAGGTCATGTTCCTCTAGCGTTGTGATATCAGAAATATGTGTACTGAAAATGCATGGTAGTATTGATGCGTAAATAATCAAGAGGACTTGCACCTGGCTTCAACTCCCCCCCACCTTTGAATATAAGGTATCCAGGAAACAAACACATGGTATCCAGGAAACAACACATGGATTTTGAGAAAGGGATTTTGTTGTTTTGGAGATAGAAAAATTACAAAGAAGCTAGTACTAATTAGAAGCCTCTTGATTTTAGCCCGTTGAGGATTCTTGGGAGTCAAATGAATGAAATTGGCTTGTAGGCTCAATTGATCTCAGTTGGTCATTGCAGTCTCCGGGAGGCCTCTCGCTTGCGCTGAAAGTTTTTAAAAAAACTTTTCTCCGAGTTTCAAAAGCTAGCCCCGCTGGCTGCCAGAGACCAGGCCTGCAATTTTATTTTATTTTTAAACCCGCAAATCTCCCGACCACGCATTAAATCGGATTTCCTTGCCGGCATGGCTTTTTTTTTAAAACACAAACAAACAAACCATTCGCGCTTTTGTATAGCCGGATCCAGCTCTAGGGGGGGAAACCGAAGCGGTTTTGCACAGAAACCTGAGGGCACGTGGGGAATCCGTGGCTACACAGAATACAACAAGGGACTCAATTCTGGACTGCTTTGGTGAACTAGAGTCTTAATGATTTTAGCGTTGGCTTTTACTCGCTGGGAACCGTCGGAACAAACCGAATCAAGGCCGCTTCGGATTAAACGACCGGGCTTTTCTTTTTTTCTTTGAAAGGAGGTGTGTGTGTGTGTGTGAATATCCTGGCGGAATATCCTGGAATATTCCGATTCCAAAGGCGTTCGTGTGTAGAGACAAGAGCCCTTGAGTCTAGGGAATATCCAAGCCTGTTCTCTTGAAGGCCTGGGGGGGGGGTGGAGGAGAGAGAGGGAGGTGATCGGGAGGGCGAGAATAGACCCTCCCTCCCTCCCAGCCACTTTGGCTGTTTTCCCCCCTGCTCCAGGCAACGGTGGTGTTTGGATGCTTCTCACGGGGAGGGGTGTGTGTGTTAGTTCAGTCAAAGGAAGGGAAGATTGTTAATAAGGATGGGGAGACTAGGCTTCCCTCCCTGACCCGCCACCTTCGCAGAGGCAACTCAGAAAGTGACGTCCACCCACTCTTCCCGCCCCCACAACACACACTTCACTTTGCGGACCCAGTTGGCTTGGGGGTAGGTTGCCCCGAGCGGCCCCTGTACCTCATTCTGAACTTGGCAATGAGGAAAACCTCCTGGCCTGCTCAGCCAAAGGCCCCTTCCGCGGTTCAAGCCCTCGGCCAGGCAAGGGAGATGGGGAGAGGAATAATTATGGAGCAGCTTTTATTTTTGTTCAGTGACAGCCTAATAATCAGAATCTATACTCAGAAGTAAGTCTTGCTGTGCAGAATGGGGCCTACTCACTAGTCAGTTAATTGATTGGATTTATTTATTTCCATACACCCCACCTGCTTGCTGCTCCCCCCTTCCTCGTTTTTCAGTCCTCACAACAACCCAGCCAGGTAGGGTTCCAATGGGGGGACGGACTGCCCCAAGGTCACCCTGAATGCTTCATGGCTGACCTGGCATCTGATCCCTGGTCTCCACCCAGACACCACATTGGTAGTAAGACAGGGTTTCCTTCCTATGTTCTTATCTCTTGAGTAGACAGGCATGGGCTTGTGATGTGAGGTTGCAATCCAAGTCCTATGGAATACTGTAGTGCTTGCTTCTGAGTAGAAATGCCTAGCATTGCGCTGCAACACTCTTGTACTGAGCATGTTGGCTCAGAGGTAAGTCCCCATCCATCCAACTCAATGGGGCTTGCTCCTTGGGAATAGCCTTACACTGCAACCAGTATGTTTGGAAGTGTGGCCATGCTGAGCTGAGGAGGCACCACTAAAGCCAGTGGAGCTTCTGAGTAAATATAGGTACTAGGCAGCAAGTGGCATCACTGTGACCTTTTGTAGTGAAGTCTCACAGGCTGGATCTACAAAGGATACAGACAGACAGAGAGATTGGAAGTTTGCCTCTTTGAAATGGAGAATTTTGCCCTTTTAGTCTTTTCTTTGCAATTTATTTCTCTCGTTCCCCATTTGTTTAAGCACATACATAAAATACGTAATTATTTTTTTATTAGTATATAATATATATTTTTTCTGCAGCATTTCTTTGCGGGCTTGCTGTGAAAGTATTTCCTTTGCTATGTGCAGACCAGACCAGGAGGAAATCACTCCCTGTGGACCTGATCACCATGTAGGATTTTTAAAATTATTATTATTATCAGTTTTGCAGTTCAGGAAGTAACTCTGCATTTGGAAAAGGCAAAATCTTTAAAAGGTGAGACTTTTTGTGAACATAGCCTCCCCGGAAGATTTTTTTTCCTGGGGGAGGAATTGGCTATAAAATTGCTAAATGGTTGCAGTGGACGGTCTGTTAATCTGAAACCCATGATATGGAACTCTTCCTCCACCTATTTATTGTTTAGGATTATCGTTATGGTTTTATTTTCTGGTTTCTGACAACATTTCACACAAAGAAATCAAATATTTAATTCAGGGATGAGGAACCTGTGGCCCTCCAGGTATTTGTTGGACTACAACTCCCATAATCCCTGACCATTGGCCACACTGGCAGGAACTGATGGGATTTAGAGTCCAACAACATCTGGGAGATTGGTTTATTTCAACAAATCAGGGTGGTTCTGAGCATAATGATGTAGAAGTTAAAGTCTCACTAATTTAAGTGGGACTTACTCTCATGTCAGCATTCATAGCATTTGCAACTCAATAGACTACAATTCTGTACCCAAATCCCTGGCAGTAAGAGCTTTGCAACACAGTAAGACATACTTTTGAGTAGACATGTAGAGAGGATTACACTTTAAGCATCTGTGTGCAATTCTTCAGCTAAAAATCGGTGGGATTTAAAAAGGCATCCCTTTGGATAGATTGGGCCTGATATTATAAATAAGAAAACACTGTGTATGTTTTGTCATTGATATACAATTATTTTTGACAGTCTACTGTTACATTATTATGTCTCGTTGTTAATGCTTCCTGTTCTTAAATATGGCCATAGCAACAGCGTAGATGTTTAAGGGTTACTGTCAACAACGCTCTTGGGGTTATTGGATAAAATGCTAGCCAATGTATAATCCAATGCATGTTTACTCAGAAGCACACACCCCACTTTTCAATGGGGTTTACTCACCAGAGTGCAGCCTTTATTTCAATAGATCTGAACTGCACCACTTTTCTCATGAAAGCTGGTTTACTTATTAGTTTGGTGCATTCTGTGGCCTGTGGGCATGCTCTTGTATATCTCCCCATCCCTCATTTCCTTCCCCATCCCCAGGTGATTGTTGCATGGCCAGAAATCTGCATGAGGAGACTAGTACTTGAGTCTCTTCCTTTGGATTCCTTTGTGTTGCAAGTGGGGATGAGGCACTTGGATGGATGGTGCAATATGCAGAGTCCAGGAAAAGGTGCTACTGATACTTGCCTGTCTCTGTGAATGAGATTTTCCGGCTCATCCATGTTTGTGTTCCATTCTGGAGGTTGAGACCTTGCTCAGGAAGTAGAGAAATATGAAGTGATGGGAAAATTAAAGGTGGAAAGGGTCGCCCCCCCATACCACATTCCTCCTAAATTCTTTGACGGTTCCATGAAAAATTGGCTTGGTGGGGGCTATAAAATTAAATGAGAAGAGAAGACTCCCTGGAAAAGACCCTGATGTTGGGAAAGATGGAGGGCACAAGGAGAAGGGGGCGACAGAGGATGAGATGGTTGGATAGTGTTCTCGAAGCTACAAACATGAGCCTGACCAAACTGCGGGAGGCGGTGGAAGACAGGAGTGCCTGGCGTGCTCTGGTCCATGGGGTCACGAAGAGTCGGACACGACTAAACGACTAAACAACAACAACATAAAATTAGTGTACGGGAGCAAGAGAGTACCCTTTCATATTTGAATGTTGAAAAATATTTTTGTGTGTGTTGGAAGCTTTACAGCAAGGCTTAGGTTGCAATCCTATTCTCACTTACCTAGGAGTAAGTCCCACTGAGCTCAGTGTGATTTATTTCTAAGTAAACATGCCTAGGTTTGCATTGGACAAGATCTGCTCTTAGGTATGTCCAATGTTAACAGTACAACCTTATGGATGCCTTACTAGGTGTAATCTATGTAGCCTGCTCCCAGGTAATTGTGTGTATGATATAGGACTGTAGCCTAAATTGCCAGGGCAGATATATTAAAGAATTCCAGTGCATTTTGAAAGTATGTTTTTGTGGTCTAGCTTTTTCTTAAATATCTTGTATTAGTGCAATATTCCAATCCCAGGTCAGATATCCTTTATTTCATTTAGCAAAGGGCTA